TTTGGTTTGTGTTATAGTTTGTTCCTCTCCTGGGGACCAGAATTCAGAGGATGTCTCATGTGAAATGCTTGTCTTCACGTGCCCAGGTCGTGAGGATGTCTCGAGCGAGACGCTTGGTTTCACGCGTCCAGGTTGCCCAGGCAGATGTCTAGCGTGAGGATTTGTTGAGGATGTCTCGAGCGAGACGCTTGTTTTCACGCGTCCAGGTCGCCCAGGCGGAGGATGTGTTGAGGAAGTCTCGATCGAGACGTTTGTTCGCACGTGTCCATGTTGCCTAGGGCATGTCAAGCATGAGGATGTGTTGAGAATGTCTTGAGCGAGACGCTTGTTTTCACGTGTCCAGGTCGCCCGGGCACAGCACAGCCCTCGGCACGGTACATCAAGATCGATACACTCTCCGCATTGTAATTTGGCACGTTCCCTGGCACGTTCCGTGGCGCGTCCCGTGGCGAGTCCCCCTGGCACGTCGCGCGGCGCGTCCCCTGGTACGACCCGTGGCACGTCCATTGGCACGTTCCGTAGCGCTTCCCCTTGGCACGTCCCGCGGTGTCTCTGTGGCACGTCCCTTGGCACGTCGCCTTGCGCGTTCCTTGGAACTTTCCGCTTCGCGTCTTCCTGGCATGTCCCATTGTCAATGAGCTCTGGGGCAGCTACTATGTGCTCGGGCAGCTCGAGCTTAAGACCCAGATCAGTTCGGTCAGGACTCGGATGCAACGGAGGATTCGATCCACAACGCTAGAGGGCACCATCGCGGCATGGCACACCGCAGTTCAGCACGGCGCAGCTTGTTTTCACGTGTCCAGGTCGCCCAGGCACAGCACAGCCCTCGGCACGGTACACCAAGACCGATACACTCAGCATGCAACTTGGCACGTTCCCTGGCACGTTCTGTGGCGCGTCCCGTGGCGAGTCCCCCTGGCACGTCGCGCGGCGCGTCCCCTGGCGCATCCCGTGGCACGTCCACTGGCACGTTCCATGGAGCGTCCCTTTGGCACGTCCCGCGGTGCGTCCCCATGGCATGTCCCCTGGCATGTCGCCTGGCGCGACCCTTTGGACGTTCCGCGGCGCGTCCTCCTGGCATGTCCCCCTGTCAATTAGCTCTGGGGCAGTTACTATGTGCTCAGGCAGCTCGAGCTAAAGATCCAGATCGGCTCGGTCAGAACTCGGATGTAAAGGAGAACTCGATCCACAACGCTATAGAGTATAGAGCACAATCGCGGCTTGGCGCATCGCAATTCAGCACAGCGCAGTACAGCACAGCCCTCGGCACTGTACAGCAAAATCGATACATTCAGCATTGCATTTGCCGTTGCCCAATCAGGTTTGAAACGTTGCCATGCCTTACATTTCTATATTTCTTTCCGGATTCGTGGGTCGATCAGGTTGAGCATATTTTCATTAATTCCCAGAGAGGGCTCCGGCCCAGGGTTCTCTGTTAGTTGTTTACCCCCGGAATCAACGGGAAGAGGGCCGGCGGAATTTTTTGCTGACAGTAACGAGGTCGGAAGAGGGCCGGCGGAATTATGTTTGAGGAGGTCCCGAGTGAAATCTGGCTTTTTCAGACTTTGTTGAGGATATCCCGAGCCAAATGTTTGTTTTGTGTTATAGATTGCTCCTCTCCTGGGAAGTAGAATTCAGAGGATGTCTCATTCGAAATACTTGCTTTCACGTGCCCAGATCTTGAGGATGTCTCGGACGAGACGCAGATGTCTAGCATGAAGATGTGTTGAGGATGACTCGATCGAGACGCTTGTTTTCACGCGTCCAGGTCGCCCACGTGGATGTCTAGCATGAGGATGTGTTGAGGATGTCTCGAGCGAGACGCTTGTCTGCACATGTATGCACATGTCCAGGTTGCCCAGGCGGATGTCTAGCATGAGGATGTGTTGAACATGTCTTGAACGAGACGCTTGTTTTCACATGTACAGGTCGCCCAGGCGGACGTCTAACATGAAGATGTGTTGAGGATGTCTCGAGCGAGACGTTTGCTTTCAAGCGTCCAGGTCGCCCAGGCGGATGTCTAGCATGAGGATGTGTTGAGGATGTGTTGAGCGAAATGCTTGTTTTCACGTGTCCAGGTTGCCCAGGCAGATATCTAGCATGAGGATTCATTGGTTACGCCGTACCGCCGACCCCTTGGGGCAGCAAGAGTGAAAGACGGAGTTCGCGGAACGTGCGCGATCGCTGGGCAATCTTGCGGTTTCGGCCTGTCCTACGTAGCGTGTGGAGTTCAAGGGGGGGCCTTTGTTTTAAAGTTTTTCGTGGTCTTATGTGGGTTTCTTGCGGCCTTCGCGGGGCTTGTCCCAGGCCTCCTTTTCCACCCCTGGATAGACTCGGGGATCGTTGAGAGCCAGCTGGGGGTGCGTCCTGCCAGAAGTTCGAGAGTGGACCCAGCTGTGTCGACGAGGAGCTTCCTGAAGGCCCAGAGGGGGCGGAGAGTGCCCAAGAACTAGGAGTCTCATGCCTCGAGCCTCGATCCACCCCGTGTTCCTTCCTTTGCGAAGGGATGGGTTGGCCAGGGAGGTCGATCCTCATCCCGGACCCTGGGTGGTGGTCCCGGGCACCGAAAACGGTTCCTGGAGGCTGAAGTCGAGGAGATGCTTCGGGCGGTCGAAAGACCAAGTAAGTCGACGAGACATCGGCGGCGACGACGAAATCTTTATTTTTGTTTCTCTTCCTCCTTCTCTTCCTCCTCGTCCTTCTCTTCTTCTTCTTCTTCTTCTTCTCGATCGAGGTAGATGCCCGCGGCAGTTCCGGCCGCCTTTTCAAAGATTTTGTTTGAACTGTTTTTGTTTTTGATTGGTTTCGGTCTCCGGGGGCCGTTGCTGGGCCCCAGGACTTGCAAAACCGGACGGACATGGGGCGAGAAATTGCATCGGTGGACCCGGGGAGAGGATTTTTGGTGCCTGGGTTGCGGGTTGTGACCCGATTGGAAGGAGCTCCATCTGGCGCCCCGCGAAGCGGTGGACAGACTGAATGTTTTGTTGTTCTTCTATTTCTTGTCTGTTATTCCTTGTTTGGTGCGTGCGAGAATCATCGAGAAACCTGGGTGTGAGAACTTTCAAGCGTGGGGCGTGCGAGAATCATCGCGCAAGTGGGACCCGCGCGCGCAGCAGCACGCGCAGGGCGCGCTCTGGCGCATGCTGCCTCTGACCCTCTGACCTTCTCAGTTGCATGCCTGAAGTGGTACTTGGGGCTTCTTTTGAGCTTCTTGGAGGCCTCTTGGGGCCTCTTGGGGGTCTGTTGGGGGCCGCTTGGGGTCTCTTGGGGCCGTCTTGGGGCGGAAGGCTCGGATTGTTTGTTCAGGCTCCCCCTCTTGGGCCCCTCTTTGGGCTGTCTTGGGGCGCTCTTGGGCCGTCTTGGGAGCCTCTTGGGCCGTCTTGCCACCCTCTGGGGCCGTTTCGAGCGCCTCTTGGGAGCCTCGTGGGCCGTTTCGGGGCGGTGTTGGGGGACTGGGGCCGTTTTCAACGCTGTGAAGGCCGAAAAGTCGTGCGTGATATAAATGTAGTACGTTTTCCCATGAAAATTCGATGGTTTTGGCCTCTTGGGCCCCTCTTGGGAATGTGCTTGGAGGCTTCTGGGGCCGTCTTGGGGCCATTCTGGGCGACCTTTTGGGCGTCTCGGGGGCCTCTTGGGCCGTCGTGGGAGCTGCTTGGAGCCCTCTGGGGCCTCGTGGGGCCTGGTGAGATCTTTCCCCCCCCCCCCCCTCCTTCCAAAACGGGCGGACCGGGCTCCCAGGGGAGGGGCTCGGGCAGGGGGAAGCATCTCACGCGCCGTGACCCCAAGGGGCCGGCGGATTCGGGCAGGATGTCTCGAGCGAGACGCTTATCCCCAGCACGTTCCGTAGCGCGTCCCCTTGGCACGTCCCGCGGTGCGTCCCCATGGCACGTCCCCTGGCACGTCGCCTGGCGCGTACCTCGGGACGTCCCGTGGCGCGTCCTCCTGGCGTGTCCCCTGTCAATGAGCTCTGGGGCAGCTACACGGTGCTTAGGCAGCTCGAGCTTAAGATCCAGATCCGTTCGGCCAAGACTCGGATGCACAGGAGGATTCGATCCACAACGCAAAAGAGCATAATCGCGGCATGGCACATCGCAGTTCAGCACGGCGCAGCACAGCACAGCCCTCGGCACTGTACATCAAGATCGATACATTCAGCATTGTAACCTGGCACGTTTCACGTCCCGTGGCGAGTCCCCCTGGCACGTCGCGTGGCGCGTTCCCTGGCACGTCCCGTGGCACGTCCTTTGGTACGTTCCGTAGCGCGTCCCCTTGGTGCGTCCCCATGGCACGTCCCCTGGCACGTCGCCTGGCGCGTACCTCGGGACGTCCCGTGGCGCGTCCTCCTGGCGTGTCCCCTGTCAATGAGCTCTGGGGCAGCTACACTGTGCTCAGGCAGCTCTAGCTTAAGATCCAGATCGTTTCGGTCAGGATTCGGATGCAAAGGAGGACTCGATCCACAACTCTGTAGAGCACAATCGCGGCATGGCACATCGCAATTCAGCACGGCGCATCACAGCACAGCCTTCGGCACGGTACATCAAGATCGATACACTCAGTTGCCATGCCTTACATTTCTATTGTTTTCTGGCTTCGTGGGTCGATCATGTTTCTATGTGTCCTCCAAAGTTTGCCTATAGGGGGACATGCCCGACCTAAGCCTACACGTGTTAAGACATGCAAGATGTACGCTTGCCTTGCGCATCTTCGACCGCACCGTTTTACGCGTGAAGATGCAATGCCCCCAGATACCCCTTTGTGCACCTACGCTCGTGAAAACACCTGCCAACGCATGTTCGATGCCCCCTCCGCGCCCCTCCGCGCGCCCCGTGAAAACACCTGCCAACGCATCTTCACATCTGAAGATTCCAGCGGCCCCGTGTTGGATACCTCACGATTGGCGCTTGCACGCGTGAAGACACGTGCTCAGTGCCGCATGAGTGCACGGCTCTTGGTCAACATCCCTTGTTCCGCGATGTAATTTCACGTGTGACGACTCTTCTAGCCATTTAACTCAATCTCAAACGCATTCAGTTTTCCCAATAAGTACGAATCACATTTTTATTTCAATAGCATATCTACCACTCACTACAACGCCACATGTCGTCCAGGTGCGAGCGCCGATCGGAGTGCACAGGCCACGAGCTAGACGGAATCCTCCAGGCGGAGTCTACAGCGGCGCTGTTGATCTTCGCGGACGCGCAGTTCGAGGGGGACACATTCGCGGACACGTGCTGGGGCAGGTCATTCCCGGGCCCGCGGTGGCGGCGGCCCTCCAGTGAGGAGCACGACAGCGACGACGACGCCGATGACCAGAGCGCCTCCCCGCTGCAGACTCGACCCCACCCTGGCACGGACGCCGCGGGCGAGCCAGAGGCCGAGGCCGCGCGGGACCCCTGGCCGACGGGCGGCCGCGGCCGCGCCCCCGCCGCCGGGCCAGTCCTGGCCGGGGTCCGCGCGCGCTCCCGCGGGGTCGCCCCGGCAGCGGCGCCGCGGCGCCCGTGGGGGATCCGCGCGGCCGTGGCGCAGCGGGAGCCGCCCTCGCTCCGGGCGCCCCAGCGCAGTGCCGAGCGCCGCCTGGCGCCGCCTCTGATGCCCGCAGCGGGGGCTGCTGGCGCCGTTAGCGCGCGTGCCAGTTTGAGCCTCTGAGGAAGCGGGTGCGACGGGTCGGAGTCGAGAGCCTGCTCCACCGTGCGGGGTGGAGCAGGGTCGAGGTTACAATCGCGAGCTCGGCTTTGGAATGGGCCCGTCCATTGACTCCCTCTGCAGAGCCCGTCAGAGTCTGCGGACGCGACTTCGGATCAACTGGGCCTGGGGTGGAGCCTTGGACCTTGGAGGTGCATCCATGACCTTGAAACCTTGGAGCCTTGGACCTTGGACCTTGGACCTTGAAACCTGATGGATCCATTCAAGTCGTTAGGAGTCATCAAATATGCTTGCGAATATTAATACTATTATCATTGCATGAATTTTCCAAGCAGCAAGCGACATCCTGAGTCTTTCATGAGAGCCACGCAGATTTGAATTTCGAATTTCGATTGTAGCCCAGGCATGGGGTCCACAATGGCATCGGCAGTCGGAGCCACGTGCTTGCCAGCACCCGCCAGAATGTTTTTTTTCTATTCGACCGCCAGTTCGTTCTCCGACCGCCGGACTGTCTGGTTCCCCAAACAGCTTGCTGAACGGGGTGCTGTTGTGATAGAAGCTAACTCCGGCCGAGGGAAGTCGGAGCAGAGACATCCTCACAAAAATTTGATGGTCCAGGCCGTTTCGCTTGAGACATCCTCACAGCTCTCGTTTCTGAGTTGGCTGGGATTGGCCGTTTCGCCTGAGACAGCCTCGAAAAATTATCCCGGCAAAGGAATCTAACAGCGATGTGTAGGAGCATATTTGGAAGCATTCCCCTTAAGATTCAGATGATAATCCAGTTGTAGAATTCTGCTGTTCTCGCAGTCGTAGTCGCATTCGCGATGACAGTCGCAGTGGCAACGGCAGTCGCAATCACAGCCTCAGCCTCAGCCTGCCTCAGCCTCAGCCTCAGCCTGCCTCAGCCTCAGCCTGCCTCAGCCTCAGCCTCAGCCTGCTTCAGCCTCAGCCTCAGTCTGCCTTCAGCCTCGGCCTCAGCCTCAGCCTGCCTCAGCCTCAGCCTGCTTCAGCCTCAGCCTCAGCCTCAGACTGCCTCAGCATCAGCCTGCCTCAGCCTCAGCCTCAGCCTGCCTCAGCCTCAGCCTGCATCAGCCTCAGCCTCAGCCTCAGCCTGCCTCAGCCTCAGCCTGCCTCAGCCTCAGCCTCAGCCTGCCTCAGCCTCAGCCTCAGCCTGCTTCAGCCTCAGCCTCAGTCTGCCGTCGGCCTCGGCCTCAGCCTCAGCCTGCCTCACCCTCAGCCTGCATCAGCCTCAGCCTCAGCCACAGCCTGCCTCAGCATCAGCCTGCCTCAGCCTCAGCCTCAGCCTGCCTCAGCCTCAGCCTCAGCCTGCTTCAGCCTCAGCCTCAGTCTGCCTTCAGCCTCGGCCTCAGCCTCAGCCTGCCTCAGCCTCAGCCTGCATCAGCCTCAGCCTCAGCCTCAGCCTGCCTCAGCATCAGCCTGCCTCAGCCTCCGCCTCAGCCTGCCTCAGCCTCAGCCTCAGCCTGCTTCAGCCTCAGCCTCAGTCTGCCTTCAGCCTCGGCCTCAGCCTCAGCCTGCCTCAGCCTCAGCCTGCATCAGCCTCAGCCTCAGCCTCAGCCTGCCTCAGCCTCAGCCTCAGCCTCAGCCTCAGCCTCAGCCTGCCTCAGCCTCAGCCTCAGCCTGCTTCAGCCTCGGCCTCAGTCTGCCTGCAGCCTCGGCCTCGGCCTCAGCCTGCCTCAGCCTCAGCCTGCCTCTGCCTCAGCCTCAGCCTGCCTCAGCCTCAGCCTCAGCCTGCTTCAGCCTCAGCCTCAGTCTGCCTTCAGCCTTGGCCTCAGCCTCAGCCTGCCTCAGCCTCAGCCTGCATCAGCCTCAGCCTCAGCCTCAGCCGGCCTCAGCATCAGCCTGCCTCAGCCTCAGCCTCAGCCTGCCTCAGCCTCAGCCTCAGTCTGCTTCAGCCTCAGCCTCAGTCTGCCTTCAGCCTCGGCCTCAGCCTCAGCCTGCCTCAGCCTCAGCCTGCATCAGCCTCAGCCTCAGCCTGCCTAAGCATCCAAAATGTGGCCCGGGAATGGAGTTCTGGGAACTCGAAGACCACGAAGTGGCCTACAGTTGGCTCCGGGCATCCAAAATGTGGCCAGGGAATGGAGTTCTGGGAACTCGAAGACCACGAAGTGGCCTACAGTTGGCTCCGGGCATCCAAAATGTACGCCGGGAATGGAGTTCTGGGAACTCGAAGACCACGAAGTGGCCTACAGTTGGCTCCGGGCATTCAAAATCATGCCCAGGAATGGAGTTCTGGGAACTCGAAGACCACGAAGTGGCCTACAGGTGGCTCCGGGCATTCAAAATCATGCCCAGGAATGGAGTTCTGGGAACTCGAAGACCACGAAGTGGCCTACAGTTGGCTCCGGGCATTCAAAATCATGCCCAGGAATGGAGTTCTGGGAACTCGAAGAACACGAAGTGGCCTACAGTTGGCTCCGGGCATTCAAAATCATGCCCAGGAGTGGAGTTCTGGGAACTCGAAGACCACGAAGTGGCCTGCAGTTGGCTCCGGGCATTCAAGATCATGCCCAGGAATGGAGTTCTGGGAACTCGAAGAACACGAAGTGGCCTGCAGGTGGCTCCGGGCATTCAAACTCATGCCCAGTAATGGAGTTCTGGGATCTGGAACTCGAAGACCACGAAGTGGCCTACAGTTGGCTCCGGGCATTCAAAATCATGCCCAGGAATGGAGTTCTGGGAACTCGAAGACCACGAAGTGGCCTACAGGTGGCTCCGGGCATTCAAAATCATGCCCAGGAATGGAGTTCTGGGAACTCGAAGACCACGAAGTGGCCTACAGTTGGCTCCGGGCATTCAAAATCATGCCCAGGAATGGAGTTCTGGGAACTCGAAGAACACGAAGTGGCCTACAGTTGGCTCCGGGCATTCAAAATCATGCCCAGGAGTGGAGTTCTGGGAACTCGAAGACCACGAAGTGGCCTGCAGTTGGCTCCGGGCATTCAAGATCATGCCCAGGAATGGAGTTCTGGGAACTCGAAGAACACGAAGTGGCCTGCAGGTGGCTCCGGGCATTCAAACTCATGCCCAGTAATGGAGTTCTGGGAACGAAGACCACGAAGTGGCTTACTGTTGGTTAAATTATCCCGGCAAAGCAACCTAACAGCGATGTGTAGGAGCATATCTGGAAGCATCCCCCTTAAGATTCAGATGATAATCGAGTTGTAGAGTTCTGCTGTTCTCGCAGTCGTAGTCGCATTCGCGATGACAGTCGCAGTGGCCTGCATTAGCCTCAGCCTCAGCCTCAGCCTGCCTCAGCATCAGCCTCAGCCTCAGCTTCAGCCTGCCTCAGCCTCAGCCTCAGCCTGCTCCTGCATCAGCCTCAGTCTGCCTGCAGCCTCGGCCTCAGCCTCAGCCTGCCTCAGCCTGAGCCTGCCTCAGGCTCAGCCTCAGCCTCAGCCTGCCTCAGCATCAGCCAGCCTCAGCCTCAGCCTCAGCCTCAGCCTCAGCCTCAGCCTCAGCCTTAGCCTCAGCCTCAGCCTGCTTCAGCCTCAGCCTCAGTCTGCCTTCAGCCTCGGCCTCATTCTGCCTTCAGCGCCGCCTCACCTCGGCTGCCTCAGCCTCACCTGCATCATCACCTCAGCCTCACTCAGCTGCTTCGTCCGCCTCAGCCTCAGCTCAAGCCGCAGCCTCTCAGCCTCAGCGTCCATCCTGCTTTTTTCCCACATTTTTTTTTTTCAGCCTGCGTCAGCCTCAGCATACAGTCTGCTTCAGCCTCGGCCTCGCCTCGCCGCAGCCTCAGCCTCGGCTTGCATGAATCCCTCAGCCTGCGGCTCACCTGGCTCAGCATCAGCCTGCCTCAGCCTCAGCCTCAGCCTGCCTCAGCCTCAGCCTCAGCCTCAGCCTGCTTCAGCCTCAGCCTCAGTCTGCCTTCAACCTCGGCCTCAGCCTCAGGCTGCCTCAGCCTCGGCCTGCATCAGCCTCAGCATCAGCCTCAGCCTCAGCTTCAGCCTCAGCCTCAGCCTTAGCCTCAGCCTGCCTCTGGCTCAGCCTCAGCCTGCTTCAGCCTCAGCCTCAATCTGCCTTCAGCCTCGGCTTCAGTCTCAGCCTGCCTCTGCCTCAGCCTGCATCAGCCTCAGCCTCAGCCTGCCTCAGCCTCAGCCTGCCTCAGCCTCAGCCTCAGTTTCAGCCTGCCTCAGCCTCAGCCTCAGCCTGCTTCAGCCTCAGCCTCAGTCTGCATTCAGCCTCGGCCTCGGCCTCGGCCTGCCTCAGCCTCAGCCTGCATCAGCCTCAGCCTCAGCCTCAGCTTGCCTCAGCATCAGCCTGCCTCAGCCTCAGCCTCAGCCAGCCTCAGCCTCAGCTTCGGCCTGCTTCAGCCTCAGCCTCAGTCTGCCTTCAGTCTCGGCCTTAGCCTCAGCCTGCCTCAGCCTCAGCCTCAGCCTCAGCCTGCCTCAGCCTCAGCCTGCATCAGCCTCAGCCTGCCTCAGCCTCAGCCTCAGCCTGCAGCAGCCTCAGCCTCATTCTGCCTTCAGCCTCGGCCTCAACCTCAGCCTGCCTCAGCCTGCCTCAGCCTGCCTCAGCCTCAGCCTCAGCATGAGCCTGCCTCAGCATCAAAAATGTGGCCAGGGAGTGGAATTCTGGGAACTCGAAGAACACGAAGTGGCCTACAGTTTGCTCCAGGCATTCGAAATCATGCCCAGGAATGGAGTTCTGGGAAGTCCAAGAGCACGAAGTGGCCTACAGTTGGCTCTGGGCATCCAAAATGTGGCCCGGGAATGGAGTTCTGGGAACTCGAAGACCACGAAGTGGCCTACAGTTGGCTCTGGGCATCTAAAATGTGGCCCGGGAATGGAGTTCTGGGAACTCGAAGACCACGAAGTGGCCTACGGTTGGCTCCGGGCATCCAAAATGTACGCCGGGAATTGAGTTCTGGGAACTCGAAGACCACGAAGTGGCTTACAGTTGGCTCCGGGCATCCAAAATGTACGCCGGGAATGGAGTTCTAGCAGCGCCAAGAGCGATTTTGCGAGGATGTCCCAGGCGATTTGGGCTTCGACAGCAGCCGCCCCGGGTCCCACCCCGACCCCCCCTGAGAAGTCATGATGCTTTTTTTGACCCTGCTAGAAACCTATCCGTCTTCGCTGTTAGGTAAAAAGGAGTCCCCGGATTCCTGCGGCACCCGTCCGGCATCTGCCCAGACCCTCCTGGGGAGTCAAGATGCTCTCTTTTGAGCCCACTAGAAACCTACCAGTCTTCGCTGTGAGGTAATTGCGCTCCGGGACGCCGCGCGAGAGGTGGTCCCAGCCGTTTCGCTTGAGACATGCTCGAAACTCTGAGCCCCGAGGTGCCGTGCGAGAGGTGGTCCGGGCCGTTTCGCCTGAGACATCCTCGAAACTCTGAGCTCTGAGATGCCCTGCGCGAGGTGGTCCGGCCCGTTTCGCTTGAGACATCCTCGAAACTCTGACCTCGGAGATGCCGCGCGAGAGGTGGTCCAGCCCGGTTCGCCTGAGACATCCTCGATTTTCTGAGCTCTGAGATGCACTGCGCGAGGTGGTCCGGCCTGTCTCGCCTGAGACATCTTCGCAACTCTGAGCTCTGAGATGCCGTGCGCAAGGTGGTCCGGTTTGTT